GCAATGAATGGGAAATGAGACTCGATGTATATTAAGTCGTTCTGAACATAAATGTCATTCAAAATTTCCTTGGTTTTAGTTACACAAACTGCATCGTCCTCTAATGTGGCCAGAAGTTTTTGATATCGGAGAAATGTCCACTGTAATAGTTAACAGCATTCAGTGAAGTTCCCCAACGAGTGAGCACGGGTTCTGGGAGAAGAGCAACATCTGGGAGCACCGGCCGAAAAGCTTGCACTCTAGACGAGGCTTTAATGAACACTTTCTTGACAGAGGAGATGAGTTTATTTACTTTCTCATATTCTGCTCTGATATGCTCTGCTACTCAGTTAAGACCATGGGCCAAGGAGATCAGGGAAAAAACCTTAAGTGTTTTAATGGCAGGAGCCATGTACGAAGCATCTATTACGGCTACAAGAACTTTGCCTTCATCAGGATTAATCATCTTTCTTTTATTGTTCATAAAATGAGCCACTGTTTCATTGTTAGATTTAGTCAACTGTTTAGTGTAGATCAGATGAAATCTGGAGGGTACATGAGGATCAAGCTTTCCAACAATCAAGTTGGCAACGTAGCGTTCATGATTGTTTGTTGTTTCATTAACAGAGAACCACAAGTAACAGTCCTTAAGGTAGTGTCTTATCCTGGATACAATATTTTCGTACGTACGTTGCACATAATTCTTTTGAAGTATCGAATTTGAAGGGATTTTCTGGTGGCAGGACTTTCCAAGAAATTTCTGAAATGAGTGTTCTCCAGTTTTAAATGGAATATTTGCTGCTATAATAGCTCGATACAAATCAGCACTAAACTCATTTCTCTTCGATGAAGTCTCTTAAGTCTACATCAAGAGCATTTGTTTCATTTTATATTTTTCTTCAACGTTTGATTTATACAGACCACCTCGAAAGTGTTGTGTGAGGTGGTATTTCTTTTCACTGGACACCTACAAATACTATTATATTTTACTATTTGTTGTTATTGATTGCTTTTAAACTACTTTATATTTTATATATATTAACATTATATATACAATATGAAATTCGCAGTAATATTTTAATTTATGAAAATAATTTTTTTACTGACAGACTTGGCACAGATTAATCTTGCCATCTGATGTGTAATGAGAAATTCTTGAAGCCATTATCGATTTAATGAGGCTTTAGATGTTTTAAATTTCGGCATTTTCGCTAAAATGTTATCCACGAGTGAATACTTCAAACACAAAAATAAAACTGATCTGCAGTAGACTATCAGGCTGGCAGAAGTTGGGATTTTATAACTTGGTGACAAAAGACGAGGTGCGGCTAATTACTGTTTTTGGAGGATATGATGGAGGGAGGATTTGTAAGATTGTAATCGTCTTGGAATGTAAGCAGTACAGCGTGTTAATTAATAATTTAAGAATTAAAATAAACCTTTGCAAAAAACGAAACGAAAAAATTGATAAAAACATTTTTAAAATATGGAAACAGTTGTAGGCAAAAATAGGCACTAACGTCAAAATAGGCATTATAAAATATCATTATTTCGGTTTAAGTATTCATGAAAAGTGTTAATACAAAATCTTAGTATGATAGAGAATACAGAGAAAATAAGGAAAATATTCACCGTATTAGTTGTATATGCACTATGTTAACGGTTAGGAAATGTTTATTGATAAATTAAAAATATTTAAATGATATACAATTGTAGAATTTTAATTTCATTTTTATTTATCGCAGTACATATATTTTACATTTTATATATTGAATTATCAACATAAGTATTAAATGTAGAACAATTACAATTAATATATGAAATTAGTAATACAGTAGAACCTCCATTATCCGGACCTCCATTATCCGGATTTTCGATTATCCGGATTGTCCAAAATAAACAAAAATTTTACGAATTTGCTGATTTGCACTTGGCGAATTACGACACTGTTTATGTACGTGATGGAATGCATAACTTTTTTTGTTTCAACAACGTCTCACCCAGCACAGTGGTCGTAAACTCTTAAATATATTTTACGTCGTAATAAAAATATAACTTGACAAACGTATTTATAAATAATTTATATTCAAATTAAATCATTTCTATGACCAAGGGCGGCGTAAGGCATGGACGACGTGGGCCACCGCCTATGCCTCGCGGTCCGAAGGGCCTCGCGTTTCGAAGGTTTATGCATTACTTAAAAGCCGCGAACGCGACGAAAATATTTTACTCGTCATAAAATGATAGTTTGTCAAATTTTTATTCATAAAAATGCAGTTTCAACTGCTTTTTATTTTATAAAATCCTTATTCTTGAGCCGCCAGAGGGCCTTTTAAACAATAGGTAGTCTGTTAGCGTTGGTCAGTAGTAGTACAAATTCAATACGAACGTTTGTTTCTTGAAAATCTGATCACGATTTAAATACAGTATTTACTTTTAATATTACCGATATGTCATCGAAAAGAAAACGTATTGTATTATCATTAAAAGACAAATTAAAGTATTTTTTCGATTATCCGGATTTTTCCTTATCCGGACTACCTTCATCCCCAATTAGTCCGGATAATAGAGGTTCTACTGTATAACGTAAATGCACGTTATATTACCAGAGTTAACTAATAAAGTCAGGTTTTGAGATATTTATATATGAAATGTTGTTTAAAATACTGGAAAATCGGTGGTTTCTTTATATACGATAATAATAATTAAAGTTCAACGTATTATTATAGTATACAGTAGTTTATTTTGATAATTAATGTGTCATAAATTTTGGACCTTTTCCATCTAGTAATTATTTATCTGATTTTATTATTAACAGCCATTAATACCTTGTATATCATTTTGTAAAACGGACAACCGAAATCGGGTCTCGTTGTATTCTATTTTTATTTATATCGAGTTTAATACAACGTTTAAGTAAACCTAGGATAAACATTTTATAAAATACAGGGTGCATAGGAAAGTCCCTTTAATCGGAAAATTCTTGCGAACGGAGAGAGCTACATCTATGCAAGTGAGGTAACGGTATATTAAAGTGACTATGCCCGACCTAATGTATACGACAGCAGCGCCCATAGTGGCGAAATTTGAAAGATAGGCAGTGCAAATGGAAAACGAAAACAGATAGAGCAAACTTTCCAATTATAAAGTTCTAGAGCATCAATTACCTAGTACGAAACGACATGTGGTTCACACGGATACAATAAATTGTCGCCGGTATACACAAAATTGTCCAAAAGTGATGTATGTCATTGTGTATGCGTTTGAAAGGAATAGCCATAAGTATGAAAAACTTCGCACAATTTTTTGCATAAAATACGTACTTACGTCAATACAGTTTGATAACAATGGCGTGTATCGTGAGCAATGACAAACTTCTCGAACATACTCGACACTAGCTTGTTATCTCTGTGTGTCTTTCCGTTGTTTTTTGTGTGATGTTATCAAACTGTATTCACGTAAGTACGTGTTTTATGCAATAAATTGTCTTGTAAGTGTACCTTTACAGATTTTTATGTTACTTAAAAAAGTTGATATCAGAATGGATATGTTATTTAGAAAAATAAATTGAGAGTATTACTTGCAGAACAAAGGGGAGCTATTTTAACATCGAATTTTAACACTTTAATCGAATATTTTAACACTTTTCTTAATTTGTTTATTATTGCTGCTGCTGTTAATTTTATATTATTTAATTAAACTGGTATGGTTATTTAATTAAATTATTATTATTCCGATACATTTTAAAATGGTGATTTTTCTGTAGGCGATTTACAACATGATTGAAAATTATGTAGTATTATGTATCCAGAGGAGTCAAAGTAATGCACTCTATAGAACTAAACAAACGAAATTAAATTACTGTAATGTTAAAGTATAACCAAAGAAAGCATTTCTCTATTTTTCGGACGTTTATGACAAAGATGTTCAACGCACACCCCGAAGCATGTTGGCATTTGGCAGAATTGATGGTTGTAAAAGGAAGACATCCGCGCTCTTTATTTTTACTATTTTTCATATACAATTAATTAATTCACAATCTTCAAACATTACCTGCAAAGCAGAAGTCATTATAAAAGGTGAGCAGGTTTTATTATTTTTAAATAATAAATGGTTAACTCACTTTCATTGTTTATTTTGGATTTCAATTGACATTTTGATCAGTTGTGGAATGATCACAGGTCCTGCCGGTATAATCATGAACGTAAAAAAAAGCCAGTTGAAATACGATAAGATAATGGATAAAGATGCATGCGACATTTTTACAACCTCTTTAAATTATTTCTTCATAATTTTAGCAAGAAGTCATTCTAATCACATATAACACGAACACAGGATGGAGCCATTATTTTCCTCTTTTCGACAAAAATAGTGACTGAAATCGAAGACGATAAAGTAGTGTCATTCGCGTTTTGCTAGCATCCTTTCATTTTAAGTAATTTTATTGTTTAGGAGCTGCAGTGGCACGAGAGTTCGGACTTTCAGTCATTGTGGCTGTTCACGGATCCATTAAAGTCTTTAAGTCAAGTTAAAATTTTTTTATAAAAATTTATTACAGAAAATTTTAAAATTTTTAAAATATAAACGAAAACAGTTTAGGAGACATCGTCATTTTAAACTGCGGCGAAAAAACCATTTGCAAGCATCTCTACAATGTTTTATCTTCTGCTACTTTCTGCAGAATTCCACTATTTCCATCCAATAGAACAATGTCACCTGTAAGTAGAAAATAAAAATTAATATTTTCAAAAATATTTTATTATTTTTTATTCTAAATATATAAAATTGCTTGTCCTGACTGACTGACTGACTGAATGACTCATTCACTCACTGATTCATCATCGCCCAGAGCAAACCGCTTAACCTAAAATATTTAATATAACTTGGATCATACAATAAGTAACGTCATAAGAGTTCATAGTAACGAAGAATATAAAAAGTCATATAAGCAACTCAAGTAACATTTAATTTATCAAAACTTGTTTATTTTAACCAGAAAGTACTTACAATCTGACGAACTACTATCTTTCTTTGCTCGCTTTGCCGGCCTACCCATCAGTGCATTACTCGGCAAACTCGGAAGTGGACGTTTCACTGCTTGAAACGAATTTCTGTTTAAAAAATAATATTCTGTTAGTTTCTCGAAATGAAAAATAATCTTTTAGCATACGAATACTTACTTGAACCCATCGTAAACTTCTAGAATGTTAGGTGAGTTTGGAGGCAAAGGTTTCTATAAAAGAAAATAACTCGTTTTTATTGAAAGTATCAAGTTTAATTTTTTAATATAAATCTGCCAAATTTTCAGTTTGGTGATGAAAGGGAGAGAAGGAAGGTGTTTGTGTGTTGTAGTGCAATATATAAACGTATACAACATTACGCTGCCCTCACACACATGAAACATTAAGTTAAAAAGCAGACTTCTAATTGAAATGTGAAATAATGTAATTAAGGCTTTTTCTAAAAATTACTAGTAGTATGCATAATTGATGACTAACATGGTACTGTTTTTATTGAGCAACTGCCAAATACTTCGTACCAGCTACTGATACTTTTTCATGCTACTTTCTGGTACAACTGGTTCTGGCTGAAAAATAAAATATTTTTGCTACAAGATGTAAAAGTTTAAACTCTGTACCTCATACACTTATAAAGTATATCTAATATGTTGATTAATAGAAACAAGCAATTACTTATTGTGACTTCTTCACNAGCAAAAAATATATATATACCATTTATATTATACAAATAAAAATATAATGAGAAATGCTAATAAGAATGCTAATTACCATGTGATATTAATCCGCCAAGTTCTGTAACTAGACCAGATATAAGAGGAAAATAAGGACTCCATCCGATATCAGTACTGTACGTTATTAGTATTTCTCCTTGCTGTAAATAAATAAATAAATATAAAAATTCACATTCATTTGCTGTTTGATATGAAATTTAGCCGCGTTTTGAGCCATCCACATATAATGTCACGTATATAAAGATTTTACAAATACGTGAACAGTTCACAGCCCGGCACACATATTTGCAAAATTAAGTGACTCGTACAACACGGAATTCATATAAAACGGAATTATCTTCAGTGTTACGGGGGTCAACTGTAATTTTCACAAAATTAATAATATTCAATGCTTTGTCCGTGAAACAATTACAGTTTATCTGACAATTTTATCAAAAAAAATTGTTTAGTTAATTCTTAATCTTACAGAATTAATTTAAAATTTTAATTACACAAATAGAATCGGCTTCTTTTATATTAAGCATAACTCTGGCTTTTCCTTTAACTATTCCTTGACTAACAGGAGTTCCTACGAAAAAGGTCATAAAAACTTGAATTTAAATCATAACAGAATCATAAATTCTTTAAAAATATGTTAACCTACCTTTCATTATTACGGATGCTCGATTTCCATTATTTTCAATTACTGCCTATTAAAATACAATTGTATTCATTTTATAGCAACAAAAATAATTAAAAGGAGAAAACTAATGAAAATGACAATATAGTTAATCGTTATTTATAATACATTGATACATTTGAGTATACTTTGGTTTAAAGCTGTTCTAATGGAAAAAGGAATGGATAAAAAAAGATAGTCTGGAATTTTCAACTGCCCAACTACCCGACCACGTGAAGTTTAGGTACTTTTTTACGTGTCTAACACCTATGTAAAGGTCAGTTTCTGCACAAAAGTCCTCCTATAAATCAACCCTTTAAGGAGGTTGCTCCGATATTGATTTTGCTCTGTACCAAGTACTAAACTAAATCAAATTTCTTTTGTTCTCAATTCTTTATTCTGATATATGTTGCTAGTAATAAGTATTGTTTTCGCGACAAAAAACACTTTGATATACGATACATTATATTCACTCACACTATATATCAAGGTTGCCAAACTGGCTCACGAGCGGCATGCGACTCTTGTAGGCACGTATTATGGTTCCCACATGCACAATTTCTTTTTATGAACTTCATACGTACTATTTACATACGTATATTTGCGTAAGTATTCTGACTATAAAACAGTGTATTATATACAAAAATTATAAATGAAACTCACAACGTAACCTTAAACAAACAACTGAAATCTTAGGAGATATTCATAATATCGAAGGAGGTAAATTATTACTGGTACTTTATTATGACAAAGTATAGGATATATTTAATACTTTGCGGTCATTCGAATAATAAAAGACTAATTAAAAGAAAACAGACAAAACATTCATTCTGTAATTAAGATTAAGTCAAAACTTTCGAGTGAAAAATAATCATTATTTTAAAATTTGAGAAGAACGTGAGAAAATCGCCATTTATGATTATTTGTCTATAATTTCATACCTATAAATAGCAGAAAATTGACATAATAAAAATAAAACCTTGGTATAAACCGCTCCATCGTATATCTCGAAACTATAGATCATCCATTGCTGCATAGGCGTATGTTCCATATTTGCGATTTAAAATCGGTATATAAACCTGTGCCCCCTTTCAACTTGTTTTTAAAACACATATATCTTGAGGGTAGTATGCACGAAAATAGTCTAATTTTACTTTGAGTCTATACAAACAACTATATTTGTCGAAGTAATACCTACTTTGTTACGATAAGAATTGGAAATACCAAACTGAATTTCAGGAAGTTTCAGAGAGTCAAGTTCGTAGTAGATTTTATGAGGGGCTACTGCTCTACAAAATTGCAAACGTTTTCATTAATTAACAATTCATTTTTATTTATTGTTATAACCATTCTTTTATTTACTTGTGCAATATTCTTGCAGATCTCGTATTTATTAACATATCTAGTTCATCCAGTGTCAGAAAAAATATGTGTTCTTTGTCAAATAACCTTCCTTCCTCTACCATCACTTGTCCCATATAATAAAATGTTTCTCGAAACGAATTGATTACTTTGATTAGAAGCGACTGTAAACAGAAAAATTGGATTATATTAAAAAATCTTCATAATAAACCGCTTTCAGCTTGTCACCATAAGCGACCGTGTTCGAGAGTACATCGCAACTAAGAAATTTTCAGGGGTAATTTGCCCAGAAACCGTTTCCATTGTTAATTTCTCTATACTCTCAATGAGCAAGAATACAGGCTCTATTTAAGCACATAGACCGAAATAATGATGCCTTTATTGTATGGGATCCAGTTAAGATTGCTGCTTTGACAGACCAGAGCTTGATCCCGGGTTGAAAACCTGAAAAATTTGTCATGTTCCACATATGTAGTACTAGGGTTTTCTCTCCATTTTAACCATGCCAAACTCATAAAAAAGTGCTCGTTACTGGTTTTGCAAGAACTCACACACAGTCTATATATTTTTATAAAATGTCAGATGGAGTGACTTTATGTAGAAATAGAATTTTCAAGTTTTTCTGATTTGAAACTCTTGATCTTCCGTTACCGATAGTTAAAACAAATAATATATTTATATAATATTTATTACAGAACATGTTTTGGGACTTTATGTCTTCAAGACCACCAGTAGCCAAGTGATTATAACCACTGAACACTGGTAGTTTGTCAAGGATTTGCACTTAGCCTATGTGTCGGCCACGCAAAATTCTCAACGATTCATAGCACGTGTCTAACACCTACAATTGTCCACATTTCCATAGAAATTCCTCTAGGACACATCCTTCTATGAAAAACGGCGAAGTGTCACTTTACCGTATTCAAACCAAAAACAAAAACATTTGTACTTTTATAATAAAAGTGAATAATTATATCCTGCAAATATTGCTACTTATAGCTTCGTAGTACACTTTTGCAATTGTTTTACATCGGTTTTATGACTGCACATCATGGAGGCAACTAGAAACAATTGCTTTCAATTCTTTACAGTTTTTTATTATTGTACAAATATTGTACATTATTTGAAATTTTATATTTACATATGATATGCTTTGAAACAATTTTTATTTTACCAAGGCACAGATGTATTTTGCAGTTGATACAGTACATTGTAACTCATGCACTTTTACATTCTTCCATTGGGCAGTTAATTTTTGCAATTTACAATGATTTCTGGCATGTGTTTTGCTTCACATTTGCATTGTATTTCACTGGGATGCAAAGTTGAAGTATTTTTTGTATAATTTTCTTTTTTTTCGTCATTTTTATTGATCCCTTTTCTCTTATTGCCTGTACTATCTGAATGTGATAGCGATTTTGACACTTTTTTAATTTGTTCTTTGAGCAGACTAATGACTTGCACTCTCCAGGACAGTCTTCTCAAAGAACAAATGTTTTATCACTGTCTTTATCACTGAACCAGCCTTCCACTTCAGACAAATTTCTATCAATATCATGTGTCTTATCGTGTGTCCTATCATGTTTCTTATTTTTTTCGACTGTTGACAATGAGAAATTAAAACTAAATCATTGACATTTATTATAAATATGTGATTTACGATATTAAGAATTTATAAGTTTTTAATAAAAAAAAATCTTGCAGACCAAATAAATAAGTAGACAAAAAATTTACAAAAATTTGTGATGAATAAAAATAAATAATTATTTTTTTAATAAATTAATTGAATAAAGAATGATAATAAATAGTAGAATACATATTGCGGTCCTAATGACCAAATATCTATAAAAGTAAATAACTTGCAAATACGAAAACAGTTCATACACTGTAATGTAATTATTGTAACATAGAGAACCAATGTGTCGTATACGACACGTTGAAAAGTTAGCTCATCTCATAAAATATTGTTATTAATATAGTTTTTAAAAAATACTCTTGTATAATCTTAAAAGCCTCCTCAACAAGAATATGTATAAATTGTAAAATTATAATCAATAGAAATAGAGAAAACTGAATACTGACATCGAGCAGTCATACTTATGATCACTTTTACAAACATATGCTCAGACAATCACTTATATTTTCCTTTGTTTCTGTCACAGTGGAATGCATGTGGTTTAATAAGCTTCACTAAACTGTAATGACAAAATGTATAACTAACATAATTGTTTAGCAAGCAGAAAAGCAGAGCTGCTTCTCATTCTTTGGAAGGAAAATGGCGTGTCATATATGACACGCGGCATCCCAAGAGGATAAGTAAAACGAGCAATTAATTATTGTGACATGGTCACAATGCTGGCTAAAATTTTTAATTTTTCTTTTAATTATTTGATTAAAAATATATTCTTTTACCTGAAATTACTAGTTGTTTGACATGTGCATTATACTTTACCTTTAAAAAAATTCGTGCCTTGATCTATCCGGTGAAAATTTCGCAATTGATATTACGTTACTTTCGGTTCTCTTCGAAGTTTCTGTATAGTAAATTGGAGTTTTCTTACTTTCCGGTTTTATTTTTGGTTTCCTCTTTCGTGTTCACTGCGTTGCTCCGATTTTTTTTTTCTGGTCTTAACTACGTTCTCGAGATTAACGAAAGACACGCAGCCGGAAAAATAAACAGGCAATAAAATTATGTCTACGAAACGTTAAACCCGAGATGGCGTTATAATCAAGTCTGTTTAATCAAGAGTTGAATTCGTAAAAGAAATTTTTACTCCCTACACATTTCAGATTAAAACATCCCATTTCAGGTTATAGACACATAACAGAAAAATTTGTACAATTTCGAATACTTAACTGTTTTCAACTGCAGATGACAATCCCGAAGACGTTAAGAAGAACGTTTTATGACTGCGCTTTCTTATATCAATACTTATGTAGTAGACTTTGCCAAATGTCATCTAAATTTATACTTTTAATGAAATTAATTGGAATTGAACTGTTGTAATATTTTAGTATGTTCCTAAAACAGCTTTCTTTATGTAGAGTTCTCACAATATCTCGTATCAATCTTTTTACTTATCGTATTGCATTGTCCCGTGCAATGCAAAAACTAAGTGAACTGTCTATAATCTAATCTAATTGACGTCACGTGTTCCTTCGATCTCGTAGCTAACTTTCTCCTCGTTTTACCAATATAATTACCGTTTCCTTTCGTCTACTACTTAGTTTATACACTAAACAACCCACAACGTCTCAAACTTACTTTGTATGCAGTAAAAGCTTACTTGTATTTTTTAATTGTCATTTGAATTTTCTGTATTACGTTAACGGTATAATTTGCAAATCGTGCAATAACCAAAAGGATTAAGTTGAAATTAACATCTATTCGTTTTAAAAGTAACTGTGTTGCATATTATTTTTAAGTGTTTCGCTTCATTTCCTAGTGGAAGCTATTTTACACTAGGAAATGAAATTAAACGTATAAATGTATATAAAGCTAATTATTGTGTTTTATTTAATATTATACGTTAATTAAAGTATTTATAAAAGGGGTCGTTTACTGATCAGTAAACCACTGACACTGATCATGTGTCATTAACTGACACATGATCAGTGTCGTCAGTAATACCAAATCATGTGGTATTACTGACCACACTGATCATGTGGTCAGTAATAGCACATGGTCGTCAGTGTTTCAAAGTCTGTCGAAAGGTTATGACAGAATCGATTTATTCATACCCGCCATCGATAAACATCGAGGGAAATGTCTTAAGGGAGGTCTTTCTCTGAAGAAAATTGGTCTTTATTTGGGTGCGAGACAAGTGTAGAAAATTCGAAATCTTCCACGTCGCTAACTCGTTGGTGAGGCGCGAACCACGAGCTCGATGGTTTAATCCACTGGGACACTGCAGCGCTTTTTTTATATATAACAGAGCCACTTCTCAAGATTATACTAAATACAAAGACGTTAGTGTTTCGTCCGGAAAAATAAAAGTTTGTTCGTTGTAAAGACACGTATTATTTTGAACCGTTTTCATATTCTTTCTGGTCACATATAACGAGAAAAAAATGAATGGCGATGGTTAAAGAACCAGAAAATCCTGAAATTTTGTATACATTTTTGGACTGAAAAGACCTTTAATCGTCGAAAAATCGGAAAACTTGGGGTTTGTTTTGTATGTGTGAAAGAGCACAAATTCATGAAAACGATTCCTGTGCGTTTATCGAAAATGTCTATAGTTTTGCAAAGAAATTTGGTACTACGAGATTGATGCTATTCAATTGTATTAGTTAAAGGTTGAGGGTGTGAGGTGATAGAAATGACGTGTGTCATATCTGGAAAAAAGTTGGCCCTAACAAAGATTTACATCGTTATTCTTATCTCAAAGAACTTATTTATACCCAGAAAATAAAGTTTTTCGACATTTTATAATAAATTGTTTTATATCTTTTATATAAAAGATTTTCAATAAAATATTATAAGAGATTGCAAATGTTAACGAAAAAGTTAAGAAACTCCTTACTAGATTTGAAATTTTTTTTCACATACAGAATTTCATATAAATCGAAAAAACAACATTAATTTTAATGTCATTTTACAACAATGTTGTTGATGTAACAATTTCCAATTGTTTCAATTGTTGAAGCGTAATGGAGCATTCTTTGCAAAGTATTCGTTTGCGATTTTCTACTGAGAAAATGAAAAGAAAAAGGTAAATTTAATCAAAAGCAATGTTTACGAATGATATTTCTCTGGTATTTATTTAAAATTTTAATATTATAAAATTTCAGTTACGATAGAAGTGATGGCGCTGAACCCAACGGTCAGCAAAATCAAAATAAATGGATTAATAATGTAAGTTATTCAATTTCATTAAACAACTTATAAATTAATTTTTTGATTAAAAGTAAATTAATAGGTCTTTATTCGATTTTGAAATACGCATTAAGAGTAACAATTATTATTATTTTGACTTTCCGTAGGATTTCTATGATTTGCCCGCCAATGAGTGTTTCTCCGCTTACAAAGGAGATTCATCATTCGAGGTGAACAAATCTAAGAGAGATTTAAAGATAGGAGGATTTAAACAGTTTTTCAAAAGTTTATTTTGTAAATTGTTGCGCTGTTGTTGCGTAAAAGGAGAAACTTTCGATTCACCGGTAACACTCGAGTTTCTTTGCTTTTTTCTCTGTTTTTCAATTAACCAACTTTGCTACTAAAATATTTTATAATCGTAGAAGTGCGAATCGGAGGATTTTCAATCTGAACTTGAGCGTATGAACAATACAAAAGACAAGTACGAATTCCAAGAAATTGGTGAAGGATCTTTTGGCACAGTGTATGTGGGTCGGTGTAAAAGTTCCGACAAAGCAATCGCTGTCAAAGCCATCAAGAAGCGACGGTTTTCCCTAAAGCAGGTATGCATTGAGCCTTGTTGTCCATATTCTTTCTATATAAAAACGATACAATGTCTGTGACGACATTGGTAGAATCCAAGTATGTACTACTTTATTTTATCTTTGAAGTTTGTACACCTGACTAAAAAAAACACAGTTCATTTATATAATAATGTTGTTGTTAATACCTTTAAAAAACATTCTATAAACAACTAATACAGAATATATTGATTCCATAATTCCTATATATTAATTATATTTTTTTATTCACAGGAATTCGATATTCTCAAAGAAGGAACTGCTTGGCGCCTAGTATCCTGTCATCCTCACATTGTCAGTTTTATTGGTATTTTCGAAACTGATATTAGGTAAGCTTTACTTTTTTTGATATTACTGAATTGTAATATCTTACGTGTTTCGGCTAATAAACTATTCGTGTTTTTCAGTCACTGTTTCGTCTGTGATTACGTGAATGGAGAGAATTTGACCGACTTCTTGGAAATAAATGGAGTATTATCGGAATGCCAAGCTAAGACGATCGGTGCACAACTTGCTTCGGCCATTATTTACATTCACGATAAAGGTATTTTAT